CTACCGGGAAGCTCAAAGCCACACCAGTGGCTTCACAACAGCATCTTGGCCAAACCTGTCATCGGCATGACTTCATTCTTGCGTGTGTAATTTTAACTGCTCGGCACTGAATCTGAATTTTGGTGGATCAGTAGTTTGGGTCACACATGTCTGGTCTGTTGTTTATGGCTCTAAAAGCATCTTGGATCTGTTTTAGAATTAAATGCCACTGTCTCTACTTATATAGGTGTGCATGTACCTAGGGATTATGCAGTGAAACAAAAGCCTGGTAAGAAATAATTGGTCACATGTCATCAGAGAAGAGACTGGCTAGAGAACTAAGCACGTACACGGAAAGCACTTAAAAGAGGTCCTGAAGGATAAGCAGAGTGTGTCAGCAAAGGAAGGAAGAAGGGTGGGTACCACAGCTGCACAACAGCACTGATGCTGGGCTGAAGATGCAGGGTGTGCAGCAGGATGCCTGGGGGCTAGGGCATGGCTGAGGAAGAGGGCAGAAGCTCAGGGAACAGAGGAGCTGAGACAAATGGTGGAGGCTGGAAAGGGACCGTGACCGCTACAAATGAAGCTTTCACCACCTCTCGTTTACATTGCCCCCTTCGCTCAGATATTCTAGAACACTCATGAGAGCCAGTTAGTGGACTCTCATACATTCTCCTGTCACCCAACCGGGTGAGCATAGCTACCTCAGCTCCTTATAACTGTCTCCAAAGAAACTGCTGTCAGAGGAATGGGTGCTCAGTGCACACTTCCTGGGTGATCCAACAAGGAAGGGCTGGGTAAGACAGAATGCCAGGACTTTCCACCATAAGTGTTTGGAGACAGAGAAGAAAGAACACAGTCTCGTAGGCGCCTTTGTCCATGGTGATAGAACACAGGAAAAACTTAGAAAATGTAGGGCAAAGGAAGACATGGGTGTGGCCAGTCAGTCTCCCAGATACTGATATCAAAGGGTTTGAGCTAATTGTCTTAAAAACAAAACTAAAATGTGGGAGAGAGAGAGAGAGAGAGAGAGAGAGAGAGAGAGAGTTGTTTGAACAGCTCAACATTTTAGCACCTATTTTAGGGAATAAACAAAAGGAAAAATCTTTCAAAAATGCTGTAATCTGCTAAAACCAGAGGTCCTATTGCATTTGTTCAGCATTTTGCAACTTTTAAGAATGTCATGAAGACGGTGACTGTGCACTCCTCTTTACTGGCCCACTCCATCAGCACATCCTGACATATTCCACCAATAATGAAATAGCAGCCTCCATTCCACAGACTTTTAAGAATCACAGAATGGTGTGGTGGTGGCTCAGGCTTTTAACACTAGCTCTTGGGAGGCAAAGGGAAGTGAACCTCTTAGTTTAAGGCTACCCTGGTCTACAGAGCAAGTTACAGGGTAGCCAGGACTACACAGAGAAACCCTTTCTCCAAAAAAAAAAAAAAAATGACAAAGGAACACCCATCACACAGGGGACACTGTGCTGGATGGCAGACACTTGTGAGATGCAAGATGCTCACACTGTCTAGAGTATCAACTCCATGTGTAGTGATAATCCACTGTTTCTACACACCGATCTGTGGCCACAGCCTTGGAAACACCTGGAAATCAGACTTCCGAGCTAAGCCCACTAGATCTGGGCTATTGTTAGGAACCAAGGACAGGAGACACAGCTCTAGTGTGGGGCTCAGTGCCATCTGTCACAATGGAAATACAAGCTGACACCAAATGCAGCTGAGGAATGATCTTTTTCCCAGACTAGGGACACAGAACAGTCGTTCCAGATTTCAGTCAACGCATTACCTGAGCTGGTCAGCACCTTGTTATAAAGTGGGCTTTGATTTGATGGTTTTCTAGTGCAGGTGTTCCCAGCAGTATTAAAATGATGAGGCTAAGCTAGTCTGTCTACCAGAGTAATGTAGGAAATGTATTTGCCACTAACAGTATCTCAGTTTATAATGAACTGATTGGTGTGTAATCTCATAGCAAGCAGAAGAATGTACAGATGTTCATGTTTACACAGATACCATGTGAATCACATGTTTACATGGATACCATGTTTACATAGTTATCATGTGTACCACATGTTTACACCCATACCATGTATACCACATGGATACCATGTATGCCACATGTTTACACAGATACCAAGTGTACCACACATGGGTCTCCCTTTATGTTAAATTCTTCTTTTGTCTACATATTACATACCTTTACTGTAAATTTGAGTCTATCCTGCTTTTCTACATGTCTGTACATATATTTCTTCAATTCATTTTGGCATTCTTAAATTCAATTCTGGCATATCCATACATATGGACATGCCTATGATTGCCCCTCACTAATACTTTCTGAGCTTCTTAGCTCCTGAGTGGGTCTCAAGGTCAAAGCTAATGGAGTAACTTTTCAAAATGAACTCCAAGTCTGATGGGTCCAGAGAGCAGAGTTGCCAAGCCCTCCATTTGGACTCTGTTTTAGTCTCAGTCTTTGTCTTTCCCCCTCCCTCCCTCCCTCCCTCCCTCCCTCCCTTCTTCCCTCCGTCCCTTCTTCTCTCTCCCTCTCTGACATGAATGTTAGCATGCAGTGATAGAAAGAGAAAATGCTTGAGAGCAATTAAGACTTCAGTTCACATTGTTGGGCACCAGACACTACATCTAAGCAGCAGGAGTTCCAGGAACCAGACTCAGGTCTGGAGATTTCCATGTGTGTAGGCTCTCCACACCCCAAAGGTGCCGAGACATCTGGAAAACCTGTGCCAACAGCTGCTTCTCTCTCTCTCTCTCTCTCTCTCTCTCTCTCTCTCTCTCTCTCTCTCTGTCTGTGTGTGTGTGTGTGTGTGTGTGTGTGTGTGTGTGTGTGTGTGTGTGTGTTCATCTGTGGACATGTGAACACACATACCTGGAGCTTGACCAATAACTGAAAAATCCACCACTTGCAAAACCATCCAGAGCACTGTCTTACCAACACCATTAACTGAATAACTGCCTACCTTGGCATGAAGCAACCCAAGGAGGGAAGAGCTGAAAGAAAGCTTCCTTCAGAATGAAGAAACAGCTCTCTCGACCCCATGCCAGCTGGAGCCCATCTGCAGAAGCATGCTTTTGCCTGTCCAGACATCACTGTACGAGTGCCTGTGAATAAGAACCCCTGACACTCTGACTCGGCCAGTCTGATTGTTCCCCTCATGTTCCTCTATTGAAAGACCTTCAAGTCTGGCCTCACCTCACTCGAAAAGACCTTGATAACATCGAAGCACCCTGATGATACCTCAGAAATACAAGATGGCCCAAAGCAGCAACACCCACCATGACTCTATGAGGACGAGATGGGTGCTTCGGATGGGCCTCTGCTCAGCTTAGTCCTCTTTATTTTTTTAATTTAGAAAAGAATTGTATTAATTGTCTAAATTATATTGTAAAAATACCTTTGAAGCTGACTAAAGCTTGCTAATGTTCCCTTCTGTTCCAGGGACAGAGAAGAGGACTCCCATCTACTGTGCAATCTCTCTACCACTAAGCCACACCCTGGACTTGTGGTTTACTTCCTAAGGCTGACTCCTTGAGGCCACCATGCTTCTCAAAGTCACAATGGCTGTATCACAGCTGATGTGGGAGACACACCTTTGCTCTCCTGTTGTCCTCCCCCACCTCCCTAGCTCTAAGGACTCTCTGTGTAGCTGTGGCTGGCTGGCCTGTTACATGACAAAAACTGTTTGCCTTGGGTGAAGAAATGAAGTTTTTCAGGAGGAAGGCAGAGGCAGGTGGGCTGGGTTGGGCTCCTCATGGGTTCCCGAATCCTCCTATTCACACCCAGCCATGGCACCCTGCCATCTACACTCTTGGGCACTCATCAATAGCAGAGCCCAGGACATGCACATTCCCACCCAGTGAGAACTGTCCCCATGCAGAGGCACACTGGCGGCTTCAGAGTATACAGCTCAGTGGCTGTGAGTCAAACCAATGGATGTATATGCCACCCGTCTTATAAGGATTCAGGCGTTATGGTGGCCTGCCCCTGTCACCTGGCAGAATTCACTCAGGCAGTACCCTGGTCAACCCAGGTGCAAAGGACCCTTTAAAAGACAGACCCCGCCCACTTATGCTCTCTTTCCCTGTCTTTCTCGCTGTTCCCCTGTCTCCCTCTTCTCTTCTGTCCTCTCTCTGTCTCTGTGTCTCTTCACCTCTTTTCTCTTTCCCTCCCCTCCGTCCCCTTTCTAATAAAACTTCTCACTAAGCTCTGTCTGCCTGGTGTGTTTGTCCATATGCCTCGGTCACCCTCGCCTGCCATGGAATCCACCATGGTTCCCCTCAAGCTTTATCCTAAGACGTCTTCCAACAAACACCTAAAGCAGTTTCGGCCCTTTCCTATCGGCACATGGGACTGCCATGGCTGTGTCCTCTGATAGTCTTATTGCATGTGTTAAAGCAAGGCACATCCCTCAAGGAGAGCCCCAGTGGCCTGATGGCATCAAGCCGTCTTTCTGGTCTGCTGAAAGCCTCGTAGTGACGTACCTGAAGGGACCCCATTTAGTGACACATTTCCTAGACCTGAATTTTGCGCGAGTCTCTGAATGCTAAACTCCCCTGTTAAGAAGATGACTTAGCAGATGACATCCATCACGGAGGAGCTTGACCAACTCTTTATGGAGATGAGTTTAGCGGGACTCTAGAGCAAGTTTTCTATGCACACCTATGACCACTCTGACAAGGAGTGTGCCCCGTGGTAGGCATCCTTTGTCCTACGAACTGCCCTTGGTTAACACCCACAGTGCCCTGGCAAAAGCGCTCACTTTTCCCTGAGAGAGGAAGACAATGGTGCAGATGCCTTACAGGAGTGAGTAGAAGAACATGAGACAGACTGACACAGCGCTGAGTGCCGGGGGTGGAGCAGAGAGCAGCCCCAGGCTGGAATGGTGGCCACGTTGTCCCTGCCTGACAGAGATTTGTAGGAGACAGAGATGGCCCATCTTCCCCAGAAGATGGTTTGTTAACCAGAGTGAAACTCCAAGACCTCTGACCTGCGGGAACGATCACTCTGCGCTCGCTGGTGGTCATGTTGGGGGGTGGCATGTGCTTCTCCTCCATGTAGCTGCCATAGCTCATCCCCACGGTGTCAGGACTTCCCACCATCTTCCCTCCTTTGGTCACACTGCATTCGTCAGGTGAGTTCCTGTGGGACAAGACAAATTCTTCTGTTAGTAGGGTACCCAGAAAGCAGGGGCCCATGGATCGCATGAGGTGATGTGTGAAAGACTAGAAAAGTATTACAAACGTCGGAATGTTGTGGTGCCCTGAATTCACATGTTGAAGCTATAAGTCCCATGCAATGGTATAGGGAGGTAGCCAGATTTAGCTCGGGTCATGAGGGTGGAGCCAGTGATGAAAGGATGAGAGGGAGGTGAGGAACTGAGAAGTTGCCTCAGTGGGTAAATTGCTTATGCAAACATAAAGACCTGAGTTGGATTCCTAGTAGCCACTAAAAAGCCCAGCATGTTATATATACACATGGCCCTGGTGCCAGTCTGGCCCAGCGGTGAGCCCCATGCCTTAGGAAGGGACCTTGGCTCGAATAATACAGTGGAAAGTGACTGAGAAACACACTCTGACCTCCCCAGGCGCATGCATGAGTGTGTATACCTGCGTGTGCGCGCACACACACACACACACACACACACACACACACACACACACACACACACACACACACACATGAGACGAACAAATACTAAGAAAGAGGAAGAGAGCCCCCCATCTCCCATTGCTTCACTCCCTCCATGTGAGGATGCAGCCACCTCTAACTCAAAGAGGAAGCCTGTGGGTTAGTGGACATGGAGCCATCTGGCACCTTGACCTCGGCCATGCCATCTTCAGAACTGAATGAGACACTCTTGTTGCTTCAGCTCAGCAGCCTGTGCCACTGTCTGAGACCACACTGGTACCCACGCTGGGGAGAAACAGAGCACATAAGTGGGCAGCCAAGCTGCTGTCTGGCATCTGTTTTGCTAGTCAAGTCCTTCTGAAACTGTCATGTCCAGACTCCCTCTGTGACAGCTGACTGGGAACACTCACAGGGAACAGAGAGTGACAGTAAACAGGGCCAGCAGCAGACAGACTGCTTCTTTTAAAGCCTCAGTGAAAATCCCTTCTTGGATTCCCATCCATGTGCCAAACACAGGATCTGGAGTGCTGAGGATTGTGGTGACGGGGGCCAAGGCACAGTCAGGATAGTGGAGAAGGTAGGGCACTGAGGAAAGGGAGGTAGCTGAAGAGTAGAGACCAGTGACCTGAGAGAACCCAGAAAGTGACCCGAATGGACGCTGTATGAGGTGAGTTGTCCCCCCCTGACCCTGGCAACAGGCCATAGGAACCATTAGTAAGGCAGTCACTGTCTTTGCAAAAAGACAGACATGCCTTTCTAGGAAAAAAAAATAGGGCCGTGTATGTGTGCATGAATTCATGTGCAAGTGTGTGTGTGTGTGTGTGTGTGTGAGAATTATGTTTGAGAGCTATAGGAATCAGGCCTAATGATGATGGCTAGCTAGTCTAGGGATGATGGCTAGCCCAGGGATGATAGATAGTGGCTACCCTACAGAAGAAGGATGGTGGCTAGCCCGCAGATGGCTAACCCTGGATCACCACAGCAGTGATGGCTCTATGTTCTGGTTACAGTAACTAAAGTAGAATTTTGGAAGCACCTCTGAAGCTCTACCCCACACATGGATTTGGTGTGGTTTGGTTTCCATTTTCCACATTCCTGGAAATCTTAGATACCCCAAGGACTCTTGACTTTAGATTTTCAATCTGCTGTTGAAGATTTCGATTCTGCCTCTATGGGGCCTTTGTTTGGCCCCTCCAAGGCTTATTAGCTGCAGCTTTGCAGGTAACTTGTAGAGTCACAACCCTTCATGCTTGCAGTGGGCTTGACCTTCAAGCTTGAGAAGGGCAAAAGCATGTAAGGCCTGTGTGCAGGGCTACTTTCTGAGCAAGATAGAGCTGAAATGGAGTACAGAAATTCATTTCTCAACCTGAGGTCTTAACAGACTGTGCATAGGAAGGCCTGCCTAAGGGCCCAGTGCTCTAGGAAGAGCTTTACACAGTACCCACAAGCTTTGAGATACAGATTACGCCACAGTATAACTCTCCAATGCATCCAGAGCCCCAGAGGAGCTCAGTGCTGCCTCTAAGGAGCGAGCAACAATCTATCTGAGCAGGTCTCACCAGGGTTACACACTGAGGTCCTACCAAGGCGGGGCAATACATAGCCTGTCATGTAGAATCCTCACAGCAGTACTAACATGAAGGCATTTAAAAATAATAACTGTCCATGTTCCCATGGAGCAGGGCCTGTATATTTCCAGTGCTATCTACACATGCATGATTTCTGCTTGATGCTATAATATTTTCCTGGCTTCAAACATTTATCTCTGTGAGACTTGTCCTAATATCAAACCGCATAGTTATCTTTGCTCCAGACAGAGTTTCCTAATCCTTTGGAAAAATCCGTCAACCTAGTGCGACGTGGATGTTTTGGTGTGTTTGTCCCAAAGACACTTGGGGGAGACAAGCTAAGGATTTGGAGGAAAATGTTGACAGTAGACGGTGCCAAGAACACAAGAGCAACGTCAGAAGTTTCTGTAAAGTCTTAAATTTAATCATTTGCTCAGTTATTTAGGCAACTCATTTATTGAGTGCCTACTGAATACCAGGCACTGACAGTTCTTTCTTATCCAGCAAACAAATTAATCACCTGAACTTTGAAGGCCAGAAAGATTGGGGATTTAACCACCTCTATCACCTCTTTGTTCATCACCATCTAAGTGTGTGTGTGAGTGTGTGTGTGTGTGTGTGTGTGTGTGTGTGTGTGTGTGTGGACATATGAATGCCATTGTGTGCATATGGAGGCCAGGGCACAACCTCGGGTGTTGGCCCTTGCCTACTTCCTTATTTAAGATAGGGTCTCCTCTTGTATACCACTGAGTATATCATGCTAGCTGGCCCTGGAGTTTCTTAGGAGTCTTGTATCTGGTCTTCCCACAGTGCTTTAGGAACACTAGAGCCACACACACACACACACACACACACACACACACACACACACAGCCCCATCTGGCTCTTACATGGCATCTGGGAGTCTAAACTTAGATACTCACATTTGTGTGGCAAGGACTTTACACACTGAGTCACACATATCTTCAACCCCCATTTAATTCCTGACAGTTTAATTTCCCTATCTGAGGACAAGAACCCCATACATGGATTTTGGAAGTTTTTCTATGAAATGAAGCTGATCCCCTCACCAAATCTGCATATAATGGGCTGTCATGTTGAATTTTTCTAGCATGTGCCCAAACTAAATATAACTATTTAAACTACAGTCAAAACCAGGGACAGCAGACACTCAAACAGGAGGATCATGTGTTTCCACAGAAAATAAAAAGCTATGGATTCCTTCTAGACTAATTGGTTTGATCAAGCAAGACCCCCTAAAGCTGAGACGATACAGCCTTGCAGACTACAAAAACAAGGACTTGGTCA